CTTCGAAGAACCTGACATGCTTGTTTCTCGAATCAGAAGCTTCCCACAGCTTCCCTGAGCTGAGATTTGAACCCAGAATCATTGTATAGGAACCACTTCCTCACCGTGCTGTTTGCCTGCCTGTATAAAAACTCATCGTTTCCTTCCTTACAATGTGTTTGCTTCCATTGCTATCAGTTCGTCAACCTGGCTAACCGACAGTCACTCATCGGCACCCAAGAGGATGCCGTGACATCTTTCATCCGTTCCTGTTTTAAAGGTGAACTGAAGATCATTTCCTCGAAATCAATGCGCGACACCTACAAGACTGCTGACAGTTTGATTGAATGCATGTCTGAGTACTTTTTGTCTGCTACCCATATGACACATCTGCCATTTACAGCAGGCGAGGTGGGGGTTGGTGGTGAATGACACCCTGAGGTTGCACCACTTTGTGACTCATCGGCATCAGCAACAATTTGTTGCCTGTTTTCCATCTTTGTTTGTTTTACGTAACCCCACTGGGCTTCATTTTTTTGTTGTTTTTGGCAAACACAAAAAGCATCCAAGACATTAGGTATGCCTATGCAATCAATAACGAGGACTAAGTGTTTTCTCATGGATTTTCCCATATTATATCCCCTTTAATACCTTGGCTAACACTGCAGGATTTTTTTGAAGTCACATTTTAATATTACTTCGTGTCATATGAGTAGAAAAAGAAGAAGATACAACTCAAAAGTAAAACTACACACCTTTTGCCTCGTGGATGTGTACTGTTTAAATAATCGATACTTAATATTGGGGCATACTTGAAACAGGAACAATCAGGGTGGAAGGTGGTCTCCAACTGCCAACTTCACAGTGTTGATCTATCGTCACCCTGGCCAACTTGACATCATCCGCAAGTGGAAGTCTGCTTGCACTTCCATGTGACCATCCTTTGCTTGCTTTAATCTTCGGCATAGACTATTTCCGCTTCTGCAATGTAAAGACTGTGTGCACTGACTTGCAAGGGGATGGGTGGAGCATCTTTAATTGGCCAGGAACTTGGCTGTGTTCATTCCCACAACGGCGCACTATCTATGAAAATACCTGAAGAAAGAAAACCCCACTCAAGCGCGCAGTTAAACTGCACTTTGGGCTACACTTGCGCTGGGAGAGTCGTATGGCATAGACCCTTTAACATGTACAATCAGTAACATTTCTCTTTCAACACGCCCTGACCCACCAGTATGCTTGTCAAGGTCATCTTTATTGTCAAATATGCTTTATGTATGATATGCAGAATAGATGAAGTTTCTTCCTCTCCATCCTCAGTGCAAACATGCATGCATGTTTGTCATGCAAGTAAGAGCTCCTATTACATGTCATATTCCTTGTGAAACTCTTAAAGTCCTCACCTTATGATGAAGACCCACATTGATTTTGCAGGTGATGATACTGAAAGTGTGCCCTCACTGTTTGCTCTCCTGTTCCCGGCGTTTGGTTGTCTTGTTTAGCCACACACTAGGGTCAAAATATTATTAACTTCTATCAGTATGATTCAATCTACAACCACAATAGTCGTTTTTATCTGTGTCGAGATGTATTTTGATCGACAGGCCATGTATTGTGTCTTATTGTGTGTTGCAGTGCCCCCTCATCCCCTCACCGTCCTTCTTCGCAGTGTCCTACTTTATTAGAGAAGGGGGCGATACATACTTTTAAGCTAATTGATTTAGCCGGAAATCCTCTTCCGAGTGCATGAGTGTGTGCCCTCCTCTCTCCCATCCTGCCTGAAATGGGCATGAAATGAAATGACTAATCCACTTCAATTAGTCATTGGAGCCCAAAATACACCAGCCAGTACACTCGTTCTGACATTTTGTTGAATTGAAAGTCATTTATAAACAGAGGCATGCTTGACATCCAAAGCTGTTGATTCACTGCTCTGCAAATGACTTAGGAACTTTAAAATTGCACTTAAAGGGGAGATATTGTGGAAAATTGACCTTCTCTTGGCTGTGTACAAATAGTGAAGTACAGGCCCTACCCATCAAGTGAGAATTTAAACGAGTGAATCTTTTATGAGCTCCCTATTTCTCCATTTTGAGACAAATAAAGGTTTTCTTATCTTATCTATTTCTCAAATTGTTGTTGTGGGCAAGCCCTTTGTCACTGTGACCACACTGTTATGAAACAGTGGAACTAATTTAAATAATACCCGCCCTCATGTCAAATTTCTCTGCCATGACATGGCTAGGATGACAAATAAAGCAACATTTAACTGTTTGGAAGGTGTGCATCTGGCATAACCCCCCCACCCCCACCCCCCACACCATTTGATTCAAAAGAACATCATGCCAACAGTGAAACATGGTGGTAGTATTGTACTGTCTGGGGCAGCTTTGCTCCTTCAGGATCTGGAAAGCTTGCTATGATTAATGCAACAATCAGCTGAAAGTGAAACTTCAGCAGGCAGTTCATCCAATATGATTGAGCAAAACAATTCTACGAACAGGGGAATGCCAAAATTTCTCCACAGAGATACAGAAGATTTATCAGCAGCTGTGGCTGCCAAAGATGGCACGACCAAGGACAGTGGCTGGGGCCAAGCCTCACCTCAAAGCTTTTAGAATATACTGTACAGTAAATGCCATTAAAAAAGCAGCAAAACGCTTGTTTTCTATTAGACAAGGTTCCGGACTGAATGAAGCTCCTCCCCCTCACTTCAACATGTGTCCATGGCACCAAGATGTCACAAGATGGAACCAAAGCAATATTTTTATATTTGACATGGCTTTCGCTTTGGGTTGTCGTTGTGAGATATTAAAATTGGTTTGATGATCTGAAATATTTAAATAGATAATGAATCACCTTTCAGTGTGTTTACTGATCAGATCTTATTTTCATGGTGCCTATTTTCTGACATTTTTGAGGAAACAGTGGTGTCAGTGGCACTTCTAGAAACTTTTTCCCAACTTGCCCATCTGCAGCCGAGACCTTGTCACTCACGACGTATGCAGGTGGGCTGCATGCAGACAGCCGTTTTTTTTTTTGGGTGGTGGAGGGGGGG